GACAGGCCCAGGGAGGATCAGGTCCTAAGCCAGGTGCTTTTCAGAGTTCTATCTTTGCACACCTTTTAATATTTCAGGCTTGAGTAGTATTTCTTTCTACTATGTCTTATTTTCCAGTAGTGAACTATGCCCCAATATTCTCTTCCCTTCTATTAATACCTAATGCTTTTGGGGAGACTCAGTTAAATTTAACAGCTACTCTTCCCTCACGTAAGTCACTTTCCTTCTGGATCTGAGCTACTTTCCCTATGTTTATTTCTATTTAGTTTCTGGCACATTCTTTTGATTTTCTGACAAGTGCTTACAGATTTCGGGATTTCTCTTATTGAAAGAAATGAAGTCAATGAAGTCAATTAAGTTTCCAGAAGCCTCCAGTTTTAGCAAATCTCATCCATATTTACCTTCCTAAGTGAGATATTCCCACCCAAAAGGTATTATCTTATGTGACCAATAGCTAATCTAATAATTAAATCACTATGTGGTCTATGTCTTCTGTATGTCCAGTTCTTTTGTGTCTTTCTTCAGAGTCCTAAGTCATGCATTTCCCCAGCATGTACCCAGGACACAGGCAGTAATGCATGCTCACTTCCCAAAACTTTCACTTGGAAATTCATCCATAGTCCTTTGAAATGCTCATGCTGTTTATTAAACCATTGAAACCAACCTGATGACATCCATTTTTATTATATTTCATGAATTATCTTTGAAGTCAGAATTAAATTTTATTTCACATTGATAGAAATCATGAAAAACATTTACATGGTCCCACATTATAGCACAATATTTCAACAGAATAGTTCTTGCTATAAATAAGGTCTTACTGATTTGTGTAACTGAACTAAGTCTACAATTTTTCAAGGCAATGCAGAATGACTTAGTAAATGATTGTCTAAAATTTTTAAGTCTAGAAATAAACACATGGCTTCATTATAAACATCCTATGTAGTCTATTACTAGATTACTTTCATGATCAATTAGCACCATAAAGATGCATTCTTAACATTGTTTTGGTAAGTTGAAATACAGCAGAAATATTAACATAGTTCAGAAATATTAATGATTTTAAGGGTCAAGAATTTGGGCTGGGCTTGGCTGAGTGATTTTCCTTTCCCATAGGGGCATCGACAGAGGTGATGCTCAGGTGGTAGATGGCTGGGAGAGCCCTACACAGCTTCCTTCTCATGCAGGGTGCCTTGAAGAGGCTGGGAACTGCTCTCAGCTGAGTGTTGATAGAGATTCTACACGTGGCTTTCCCAGCATGACAGGCGCACAGTTATCAAACTTCTTACATGTCGGCTCAGGGCACTCAGAAGAGTGTTTCAAGAAGTGTAAGTGTAGCTTCGAGGCCTTTTAAGGCCTAGTCTTAGGAGTCTTGGTATACCACTCTGCCTAGTGCTTCCTTCTGTTGGTCAAGCAAGACATGCAGCCCAGACCATTGTCACGCAAAGTGGAATTAGAACTCACCACCGTGTGGAAGGAGAAGGAAAGCGTTTGTACTCTCTTTAATCTCTTCCACCCTGTTGAATCTGCCTACATTCTTTGTCACCCACTTGCATATGTAGGCTTCTCTGTTGTCTGATCATGGACTCTATCTAGAGCTTTAAGAGAGGCTTCACATATTTTCCTGGTTCCTTCTGAGGATCTCTTTCCAGTCTACTCTTCTCCTAAGAGTTTATTCTTCCTTTCTGATAGGTTTCACTGGGTTACTGTCACTCTTGAACAAAAATATGTTATTTTTTCTAATTCCTTATTTAGGGCAGACTATGTTTATCTCTTTAACTTCTCTTTTCCTTTTTTCCCTGGCTTCAAGGAGCTTTTTTTGTTTGTTTGTTTCTTATCTATTTTGTCTTTCTTTTAAGAAAATAATTGTCATTCAGCCTCTTAAGGCTGCCTTCTTCTATTTTGTTTTTATTTTTCATCACTCTTCTTATAGGATAGAGTGAAATATATATACTTCTCTGCTTTATTCTGATTTTCTGAAAAATTTTTTAGGATTGAGTTAGCTTGAAGCCTAAGCCAAGATAGGACCAGGTAGAAATTTCTATGGGTGATAAAGGAGATGAAGCAGATGAAGGCATGGGAAGCTATGCTGCTGGTGTGACATCTGAGAAAGGAAAGGAAGGACTGAATATCAAGAAAGTCTTAGACAGCGAATCAAACCAAAGTCACCCTTTGGAGAAACCCCTGTCCCATGACTATGTTCGGCCTCCTGTCCCATGCTGTGTTCAGTCTTAGCTGGGAATATCTCAGAGAATCACAGCTCTGAGAATTGTGGGCTTAGCGAGAACAGAGTGGCAGATCCAGAGGGTAGAAGCTGGGGTTTGCGGTCAGCTCTGCCTCCTGTTCCAGGAGCTTTGGTGATCACAGAGTATTAGGTATGAATGGGAAGCCTCAGGACACAACAACTCTCCCTGTGGCAAGAGCTGCTAATGTGGCTGGATGTATCCTTGCCTAGGACTTCCAGCTTCACTAGTACACGGGACGTTCTGGCCACATCAGAGATCGAGTCATTAATCTTTGAAAATAGGAAGTCAGACTCACAGGGGAGAGTCCTGCTCCCCCTACCTCCACAGACTATATGTGTGAACTTCGTTAGGTTTCAGTGCCTCAGTTTTCTCAATTGTGAAATGAAATTTGGACAAAAGACTTCTGGGGCTCTTCTGACTCTGACATATTGTAATATTCAGGGCCTTGAAGATCTCAGTGGAACACTGGTAAGACCAGAAATGGTGCCCTTTTTAGTGTTTTCAGCTATTTATTTATTTTCATACTGGGAATAGAACTCAGGACCTTGTGCTTGCCAGGCAGGCACTTGTACCACTGAGCTATACCCCCAGCCCCTCAGTGGAACCTTTCATCTCCTATCTTTCCAAATTTATGCTGTGAAAAGGATGCTTACTACGTTTTTTGTCAGGGATCTGATTCGCTGAGCTATATCTGGGGTGTAATTATTGTATATAAGTGTATAGACATTAACATGAAATTATTCCCAGACATAAATGGTCTAATATTAACAGCTGATTGCAAAAGACATTGAGTTTGAATTGTTTAATGTAATGCTAATTTACTTCAAGTGTAAACACTAATCAGGGACAGTAGGTAATTATCATTTAGGTACAGGACCCCAAAATATGAAATCTTCATTTCCATGTGAGCATTTGTATCACATGTGAGGCTGCTTACAGTAACAATGGGGAAGAATTCTAAGAAGAGTGTTCATTACAGAGATTTGTAGTGACAAATCTTGGTTATGAATATTACCTTATGTTGAATCTCTTACAAAAGTCATCCTTCACTTCTTGGGGAATAATTTTCATGTTTAATATAGTTTTATTAAATATACACTTAATTTTAGGCCACTGTCTGCAGAAGATTAGCATGGTGTGTGTGTGTGTGTGTGTGTG